GAGCACAGCGAGTCCAAAAAAGAAACATGTAAATTCAAACAATCATACAGGTCAGAATAAAAAAACTTCGGCAAATTTATAGCATCAAAAATCGTAAATAAGGCTTAAAAATATAATAAAAGTTATTTCCTATTAAAGCGAACAGAGTCGAAAAAGGGAGGGGGCATGAAAACAGAAGCAATCCAACATTTGAAAAAATAACAAATGAAAATTAGTATTAAACTTCAGTTTGTGTCTTTGTGAGTACAGAAAGAGGCTGCTGTATTTACTTCTTTAGCTCCACCAACCCCCTGACGAAGATGCAGGGAAAGGTCTAAATTTCTTTTTTTCCTTTCCATTTTTGGTTTTGCCATTGTTTCACCTATAATGCACTTTGTCGTTATGCCTCTGGTTTTTTGCATATTGCTTCTTTTGAACTGAATATGGGATGAATTTTAAATGTAATTATTTTAATTAATTTTACATTATATATACAGGGTGTATCAGTACAGCGGTGACAAACTTTCAGGAGAGGTCGAGTACACTAGACGATGCGAAATCACATAACAATGATTGGTCGGAAGCGCTTTCTTGTCGCGGTAGTGACGACACATATCACAAGAAAGGAAGAATACGAACAAGGTGAGGAAACAAGTTTATTATGCTAAGTATAGAAAAAACCAAGAAATAAGGGGAAAAAAGACAACAATCATCATCAAAGAAGGTGTTCGAAATTACGACCCCGAACTGTGATGCATCACAACTCCCATGCATGGAAGATGCATGACATACGGTTCCTGCATCATGGTGAGGGGTCGTAATTTCGAACACCTTCTTTGATGATGATTGTTGTCTGTTTTTGTTCTTATTTAGTGGCTTCTGCTGTACTAAGCATAATAAATATGTTTTCTCACCCTGATCGTGTCCTTTCTATCTTGTAATTTGTGTCGTCACTACCGGGACAGGAAAGCGTTTCAAACCATGCAATTGCTGATTTCCCATCGTCTAGTTGTACTTTAACTCTCTTGAAAGTTTGTCACCGCTGTACTGATACGCTCTGTTTAAGGTCTAGGAAATACTTTTTTAAAATACTAATTCAAAAACTCATTGATTTTTTTCTTTTAATAATTCGTGGCTTTAATTGAATTTACGTTTATTGGAGATGGTATATGAATACGTTTTGTAATAATATATATGTATATATATATATATGAATTTAACAAATATTCTGTATAATTCTAGGTTATTTTATATTTGCTTTATACGAATAGAGAATATTTGTTAAATTCAAATTTCATTCCTTGCAGTAATGGCGCAAGAGAATTATTTAAATTTAATTTAACTTTACTATTTTTCTTGTGAAACAATATATATATGTATATATATATATAAGGGTGGTCATAAAAAAATCTTCCCCAATATATGAACCCCTAGCGGCCTATCTGCTCAACGAATCGAAATGAAATTTCAGATGTTGTTATTTGAAGTTATGCGCTCCAGGTTTGGGGGATTTAAAACAGTAGAGCTCTCATGATTACGTTTACAGTGAAAACATTTTGAAATTTTCGAATGGCAACACCCACTGTTTTCCTGCGCAAATTGATCAGCGTATGAAAAAAACCGTAAACGGCGTTGGAACGCTACAGGCAGGATGAAAACTGCCAGCGTAAAACATTTGCAAAGAAGAGTATTGTAAAGGACCTATGGCAATGCAATGAAGAGACTTTTATTGGAATTAGTTTCCAATTAGCCCACCTTCAGAGATGATAACGCATTGCATACGGGATACGTTGAGAACAATGGCGAACGTAACATTGCAGGAGGAACCTGTATAACATCACGCTTTATGGTATCTTTCTTTCATTACTGACAAATTTTGTGGATTTGATGTAAGCCTTAGATTTCAGATAACACCAGTAGCAGAAATCCCTCAAACTGAGTTCGGGAATAGCGGTGGCCACGAAACTGCAGAATTATGGGATATGATTTTATTATGAAACGCTGTACACGTTGAAAACTTTGTAATTCCAATAAAAGTTCCTCCCCTTTCCTCTAGTTTTTGTGACTGGTCCTTTGCAATACTGTTCTTTGCAAATGTTTCACACTAGCAATTTTCGTCATACGTGAATCGTTTTAAAGCAGTTTATGGTTTTTCAGTACGCTAATCAATTTACGCAGGGAAAAGTGGGTGTTGCCATTCGAAAATTTCGCAATGTTTTTGTCCTAACCATAACCTTGAGAGCTTTATTATGTTAAATCATCGCAATCTGGAGCACATACCTTCAAATAACATTATTCTAAAATTTCGCTTCGATTTGTTGAGAGGATAAGCCGCTAGGAGTTCATATATCGAGGAATTTTTTATGACCACCTTGTATATATATAGATATTTTGTTATTAATATCTTATTATTTATCGAGTTATAACATATAGTAGATATTTAGGAAAGAATTCCGTAATTTGATGTAAGCGGGATTAAATGTAACATATTAATAATTAAGTTCTCCAAGCATGAGTGTGTGACAAAATGACTAGATCACGCCATTTTTATCATCATATAATTTTGCCATATTTAATGTCCTATTTTGTCATTTGTCACTATGCCATACCATTTTTTCTCTAAAAATATTAGTATGTTTCTAGGATGCTAGTTATTATTGTCCCTAAGACTTTCAGTAGAATATTTTCATATGCTGTTTCAGTTGAAATGTGTAAATTAGCTCGGATGTTTTTCTTAGTGATTCAGCATCTACTTTAGAGAGTAGTTTCCTAATGTGTAAGGAACAAAATAAAAAGATGAACTTTTCTCTAAATACAAGATTAAAAACTTCGCTATCCTTCTGCTAGTAATTTTAAACCTCAAGGCACAAGAATTTGCATAGTAAAAAATTTCGTGAAGAATTCAGTAAATGTAATTTTGCAATCTTTTATTTCATTATCTTAGTTATAATGTTAGCCAGCTTGATCACTATATGTGACGCATATTTCAATAACATTTAGTTATACTAAATTTCTGTTACATATTTCATCTCTCCCTATTAATCATTTGCAAGCATTTTCTTTTTCTTGACTGTTTTTAATAATACTTCACTAATAAAATGGCATTTTCCCTATCCGTTAAATAATATCGTAATGCAAATAACAACTGTTGTGTTAAGCTCTTACCTTAAGTTAATTCATCTAAAATAGTCTGCTAGTCACATCACCTAGTCAAAACATCATTAAAAAACTTCGCTCAAATTTTTTATCAATCCTTGAGGTATTTCTTAGAAATGGAATATATCTTTAGTGATTACTTTCGCTCTAGATGAAATCCTGTATTACAATACGAATGTATATATTACAATAGTAACCGTGCTATTAGTTCATTATATTTTGATAATGTAATAATGTAATCATGAATTATATAATTTTACTGCCCACAGAAGGTAATCTATGTCATATTAAACTCGAAGTTTTGACCCGTTTTGCTTATGCAGATAATTAACATCGCTTTTCCAATTTTACTTGAAGTGCCTCATTTAAACTGGTAAGGTACGGCTTTATATCTGTTTACGGTTTTAAATAATGCATGTACACTGCGGAGGGGGGGGGAAATGGGGATAGTTCTATTTCTCCGGTTCTACTGTGCCGATTGACGAAATTCAACTTACGTTTTTCATGTCTCATGTCTCAAAACGCGACTTAGGATATGTGTTAGATTTATATATAGCATTGTTCTATTATAGGTATTTTGACACAAAATAGAACCTTGTTTTCAAATGACATGACAGTTTTTTTTTTCATGTTTCGATTCTACGATTCACATTATGCCTATATATTAAATTTTGTAAAATTTTCTGTGAAATTTGTGGATAAATTTAAAAATTTATCTTGGAGAAAATTTTTTCAGTTTGCGCCAAGAATAATTTACTCGGCGAACTTCATAATTTATAGCAATCTATTTTCCTGTTTTTCACTGTAAACGAGCGGAAAAAAAGGTCACGCTAATTACTTTCAAATAATTTTTAACATAGTGCATGAACCACATTTGGCCTTATTATCGCTTGTAACGAATATGCTAAATTTCAAAGCATGCCAATATGTAAATTCACGTATATCTTAGGAAATTGTGAATAAAAAACTCTAGTTTTTTTGCAGGTGTGCCTAGAAATACATCTAGTATTTTAAGATGATGTTAAAAATTTTATAGGTTATAATATAATTTTTTGAAAAATTTATAAAAAATATTTAAAAATACAAATTTTAAAAATAAATCATAAAAAATGTGCGAATTATATTTGGATTAAGCCTATATTTTGAATTCTGGAAGACAGAATCAAGTAAGTTTAATAAAAAAGAGATATTAATAAATATATATAAAATTCAATTAACATTCAGGAGTTAAAATTTTGAGAGCTAATTTTTTAAAAACTACTGCTGCGATTTTTACAAAACTTGGCAGTTTGGCATAATTTGAGTTGTAGAATTGAAATATGGAAAAACATTGGCATGTCATTTCAGAAAAAGTCCTATTTTATGTCAAAATACCTATATTAGAACAATGCTATGTATAAATCTAATACATATCCTAAGTCGCGCTTTAGAGACATGAAAAACGCAAGTTGAATATTTCTTCAATCGGCCCTGTAGAACGGGAGATATAGAACTGCCCCCCCTTTTTTTAACACAGTGTACATACAGATTTTATGTTTTTCAATATTAATTCTGTGGTTGCACTATTGCAAAATCTTAACTTCATATAATCACTATTGTAAAGCACCATTAAGAAAAGAATAAGTAATATAATATAATTCTTTCCTTAATATTCATTTAGCTTTTAATTTGCGTTCATATACAATTTTTTCCTGATATAAATTTCTTAATGTAAATATTTGAGTAAAATATCGAATTAATTAAAATGTTGATTGGAAGAGTGTACTTGTTAATAAATTTCGACAGTTTTCATTACTCTATCAAACAAGAGTTATTAATGTAACTCAAAATTATCATATTGTGTCTGATTCATTGTTTATTTTAAGGAGCCAACAACAGAGAACAAATGTATGTTCACACTCAACCGCTTTTGATCGAAGTGGACCAGCATACGAGTTCAAAATCCAAAAACCCTTGGTGTCGGATGAGTTACAGTGCAAATTTATTTATACCTCATTTTTGGGGGATTATAGCGACACCAACAAAGGTAATTATAAAAAATTAGCACACTTCTGCAAAATTTAATAACAATAATGTAATAGTTTTGTACTCGCCAAAATTTATTATTAAAGGAATGAGAACGCTATTTAACTAGGAAGGTTTGGTAATTGATTTTCATGTATCACGTTTATGGTAATTTCTGTATACCCATAAAATATTATTATATCATTGAAAATAAATACTAAAGCAATAATATAAAATCCTTTATTTTTATTTTGACATTTTTACTCTCATTTCCAGATGAAAGCAAAATCTTTAGTTTGCATTTTTACAAAAATAACTGCGTTTTTGATTACAGCATGTCAGCTAATTATTATTACATTTTTCGGATATGAATATTAATATAAGCCAGCGTTACAGTTTCTTACACACTTACCTAATTTTATAATTAGAGGAATAAAATCAGAATCTAAATTGCGAAAGTTATATATTATCTCTTTCTGATAATTTTTATATTAACATTCTCTCACTGGGAAATTAATATGAAAATATTTCAATAAAATCACACGCTTTTATATTATCAATATTCTTATTACGCCGCCCAGACAATATAGTGGTTAGGGAAGCCTGACTGCGATACCGAAGGGCCTGGGTTTGAATCCCGGAGAAAGCACGGTTGTAACTGTCCGTCCCTTAATAGGAAGCGATGGTGGCCCACCTATTAGGTGTCTTCATAATAAAGAGACCATCAGATCTGGCCTTGTATAAATTAATGCACTGTGTTACACTGTAACTGTTCACAATCTGCCATTGGAAAAACAAATATTATTATTATTTTCGATTATAGATGAAAATAAACTATTTTTCGTGGATTCTTATGAGAGTAATTGCATTTTGAATGATGGCATGTCATAGTTTCTATAGTTTTTCCTGTTTCTGAAAAGATTACTATAAAACTCGAACTCACAAATTTCCTGCGTTAAATTTGTGAAGTGCTTTAAGCCTGATCTTATGGTCCTCTTAGATTTCCAAAATGACAAAAACTAAAATTCAGATTAAATGCGTATATCACATCATAGCTGAAAATATCAGAGTTTGGAAATTATACATAACAATCTTCTACCTTCTTTTACTAACATTAAGACTAACATTTTTTTATAAAATTTGCCGCTTACTCTACCTATAGACTTCCCATTCTAATCTTAGCAACAAAAGAGGTATCACTAGGACTATCTTCCACTGAGCTTCTCGCCATCCTTACGTTACGTATCTGCCACTGTACTTGTAACCTAGCAGGTAACAATCCCAGGTGATCACAACGCACTAAAGTATCAGACGTTCTTTTTATGTGTTTACTACTATTTTAATAGTTTTGGAAAGCCTCTGAAATGTCACGAATACAATAAACTGTGCTTTTACTTGTTAAGAATCCCGGATGTTCCTGTATTAGTTTTTTCATTTGCCTTTTCCTAGATGATACTCGGAGAAATTTTAGACTCAGTCTGTTTTAAAAACCTAGCGAATCAGCTACAGAAATTTAAATTAGAATATTTTCCTGTTTCTGTTTTTTGCAGCCAATTAGATACAACCTAAAAGAAATGTTATGCTAATTCTCTGAATGCTTCTTGCTCCATGTTGTTTAGTAGTTGTTTGAAATCCTTTTTATGTGGCAGACGTTAATAGTTCTGTCACATAGTACTTAACTTACATGATGAAAAACTGGCTTCCAACCGGACCTTTGGGGGGAAAGAAAGAAAGAACGTAATGATGAGCACTTCATTTAGGCAATGCTGAAATAATGCAGAATCTGTGCGCTGTTATGATACTAATATTACTGATTCTAGTGTCATTAAAGAAGTATCTAGTAGTACTCGTAACATTTCAAAGAAAAGTACTTTCTTAAATATGACGAGATTTATTATGATTAACTTGGTATGGCAAAACCTCAGTGCGTTTTTGTTACGCAGTGCTTTCAAACCTGTGTGTGACACCCGCGAAATTGAAACGGCACCTAAAGACAAGACAAAATACGCAAACGTAAAACGTAAACCTGTTGAAAAATCCATAGATGTGTTGAAGTAAGTTCTGCAAGTAAAGAAGGCCTTAGAAAGTTCCTATATTGCAAATTTTCACATCGCAAAGATCGAGACACACCCATTCGATCGGTGAGACCTCAATACGTCCAGATACAAAAGATACACATTAAAAAATGTTTAGTGAAAAATTATCTAATGACTTTGAATTAATACCACTCTTAAATGATACAGTTACATACCGATTATTAAAAGAGAATATAAATTTTCTTCTCTTAATTACTTAATATAAACGCAAAATTAAATAAATTTTAACTAATTGTATTTTTAAAACATACTTGTAGAAACATATGCAGAAAAATTACTTTCAAAACATACAAAAATAAAAGTAGTTCGCAGAATATTCTAATTTATAAAAATGATGTTTATTTGGAAAACGTTTGAGAAACGCTACAAACAATGTTCCTTTCATTGCATGTTGCTCGAAAGAATACCAAATATGTGAATTTAGATAAAGTTTTTTTGTTAAAATATAAAATTTTCCTTTCATTAAAAACCTCACTTATCATACTCTTAAAATTAAATTCTTTAGATCAAGCCAAAAAATTAGGTACGATAAGAAATTGCTTTATTTTATTATACGAATATTCTTAGGTTGCTATATCATTACCAAAGAGCAAAAGTATTATAATCAATTTTCGGTTTTCTAAATGTTTTAGCATTTGAAATTGCAAACTGCAGCTTCTGTAAGCCAAAAGTGTTGTTCTTTGACCTTATTTCCTGCGAAATATGTTCTAAATTACGCTTGAAAAGCCAAACGAAGAATAGTTTTGAAATTTCAACATTATTTACGATGTATGAAAATGAATTTTCCGTATTCGTATATAAACTTCAATAGAAACATACTTACATGACACATAACTACTTCCTAAAGTTTGTAGGAGAAAAAGTATACATTGTAAAAGGAGATAAAAACGTGGCATATCTTTTATTCTGGTTGTAAATAGTTAAAGTGATGCGCAATCGTTGCGAATTTGCGTACGATAATTATAATGTGTTTCTATGAAATTAATTAGATTATATAAATTAAATCCTGTAGGATTTATACCCACTCTTTTAGAATAACCAGCCTGAGCTCTTAAAGATTCATGAGAGGACAATGAGGTGTTGCAGACTGACGTCATAAGACATTACAAGCATATTAAAATGATTAAGTTATGGTCAATCCATTCGAGCAATACCTTCAAGTTATTCATCCACCAGACAGAACGGATGAGCTCGAGAATTAACTACCATATTAAAAGAAACTTTCTAGACAAAGATCCCTACAAGGCTTTACATGAACCCACAGGAATTCACTCGTTTGTCTATTACCCATTATAAAAACCTCTGCTGGAAACGGTCAAACCGGTGTAATTACGTCGTATCTTAATTGTTCCTGAGATGAATAAATCACATTCATGAAAATTGGATTTTTCACAGACGTTCGCTTAAAAAGTCACTGAATTCATGTTCCCAGGCAAAAATATGCTGAGAACCAGTATTTAAAATTAACCGTGGTTCTTCAGGAAAGCGAGCTCCTCAAAGCGAGCAATTCCATTGCCACTACAGAAGACACTATTATAAATACTTCCAATAAGAAGAGGAATACACACACACGATAGGACCGATTTTCCTTGCATCCAGACAACTTTCTTGCAGATTTAGGTTTGCAGTAGCCGTATTTAATCACGTAGCAATGGCTATTTAGGTCAGATGTAAAGTGTACAGAGTTTTCTCGTCAATATAAATACATAGGTAGAGGTACCTAAAAGTAAAAGGAATGCAAGCAAACATTGTCGATGTTCTTCGAATCTGAGCAGAACAGCTCGTCCATACTGCTGATCTGTGCTACTCAAAGCGCTGTAGGATTTTCGTGATGTGCTATCAAATATTACAAAGAGAGAGCGTGAATTTTTTGTTGTTGCTGTGAAAAGCTGCAGCCGAGACCGGTTCTTATGCTCCTGAAAACCTTTAATGATGCTTTCGCGATGCTTTGAGTAAATCACAAGTATACATGTGTTTTTCCATGTTAAAAAACGGCGACAAATCAAATGAAGGCTACTATGACTTGGATATGTAATGACGAGCATAATTAAGGAAAATATTCAGAAAGTGCAAAGTATCACTACCCGTCTGCTTTCTGAAGAAAATCCATGCATGCAACAGTCTTGGGGAAGAAGAGTGTGCTTGTATCTCACTCATGCTACTCATCAGATCTTCTCTTTATTAACACATTTGTTTTTATTTCTATGGATGAAGAAAGCTTTCGAACAGCAACTCAAAGATGTGGATCAGGTGCAGGAAAATACTTAGGTTGTCTTGATTTTGTATTAAGAATTCCATATTTCCAGCAACGGCAGAAACGATAATAAAGGTACATCATTGCTAGTGTGAAAAATGTGGAAAAGGTCTAAAATATGCAGTGTAAAGTATGATACTACTTATATAATTGGTGAAAATTCATCCCAGTTATTTTTTGGAAAACTGCGCGTAATTATCTGGATGACATTAGCTTCCCCGGCGACTAAGATTTACAGCGTTTAGAAATCCTTAATATTCATGCCTAGTGCCATATCTCAAATTCTGTGCACTAATAGAAGGTTAGGTATACGTTCTCATTTTTTGTAGTTTCAGATTGGTATGCACGCTTACTATTATAAAATTGTCCTCCGCCAGCTGAGAGTTAAGCACCATTTTCCCAAAATATTTTTAATTGCTCACCAGTGTATTCTGATAACCAAATGAGCTTCCGCAACACTTCGCATAATTTTAAGGTTTTCCTTAACAATAGTTAGTGGACTGCATGCGCATTTGCCATATTTGAGATGATGAACGATGCTGTTCCATTGCTGTATCTTAATAATAATGGCATTAAATAGTGAATAATAATGGCATATAACTTTTGATAAATATTATGCACCTCACACTTAATGAAAACACATAACTAAATATATTTTATATTCAACCTACTATAATTTTCCTTATAAATTAAGAAATATGTTTTATTTCTTTCCATTTCTTAGATATTAGCTGAATTTCAGGAGATACCGGAAAATTCTCAAATTTATGTTCATACTTTTGAAGGAAATATAGAAAAAGTGTTACTTACTGAAATTGAATTATTTAGGAGAAATTTAGACTCTCTTAGATTATGCTACAAAAAGATGAAGTTTTATGTAGGTAAGAATCATTTCCTCAATAGATATCTTCATGGCGATTGATACTTTAATGCACAACTTAATCAAACAATAAGGAATGTTATGCATAATACTTATCTAAATTAACATATATTTCAGTCTCCTTCATATAAATAAATTATCACATTCACTGGTAATTATGGTAATTCCCTGGTAGCTCACTGGTAATTATGAATATATATTTTCCTTCCAAACAATTTGATAACTTTATCTTTTAATAAGGCAAATTCTGAGACTTCTAAAAAAATACTGCTTAATAGCTTAAGCTTACCTTCGATATTTTAACTCCTGCATGTTTAAAATACATATTATGACCTGCTGATTGCTGAAAACTTAAAATATTTGTAATAAGAAGCCACAATTTATGTTTCATGAATTTTTTAAGTTATATATTGGCTTGCTGAATAATTTAACCTAACCAGTTATCAAATTTCAAAGTCTGCGTAAACTGTAATACAGTTTTGTAAAGTCACTATTTTTAATTCCTGCATATAACATTTTATTTACTCCAATACCAATGTACTGCAACCATTACAGGACCTATTTTCAGAAAAGCTTAGAATTTTATTAATTGCTTTCACTGAGATATAAATCATTTGTATGGTATGTATACTTTCATTGTCTCTATAAGCAAAAGAAATAATTTAAATTTCTATTTTAAAGGCTTCATATGTATTATTAATTTTGACTAATTACATATTTTCTACAACAAACATGAGTTTTTCCTATCAACAGTTTACTATAAATGTTTTATTTACTTTACTATCAACAGTTATACTAAAATAAACAATTCAGTGATACTATTATTTTGCAACATAAATTCACTAATTTTACCTAATGAAGATCCACACACATTTATATATATTTTTAGAGAAGTAACGGTTTTAAGTGAATAGTATAGTAATGTCAATAACATAATTTGCACATAATTTTTACAAATTATTAAATATATAGATACGTAATTAGATATGATTTATAAATTTTTAAACGAGTGGCTAGTTTGAGTAATTAAAAATTACTCATTTTGAAGAGATAAATCTGTTTTTTATAATACTAAATAATATAATTTCAATTTTAAATAAAATTTACAGAATTTTCTTACACAAAATTTGTTTTATTCTGTTATTAATGAAGAAACATTAAAGTTTAATAATCATTGTTCTTTCTTTCCATAAAGCGTCAAAATGAATCACCTCAATACACTAAAATGCCATTTTGTTGTAATGATGAGAACTTAAAGTTCACAAACACATGTTCTTAGTTTCTTTTATTATTTCTTAATGCTCTTAAATTTTCTTTATTCTGATGATTAATTTAGTCAAAATAACTTTTAATGCTATGTTTAATTTTATATCAAAAATTATATACGCATAACTTTACTTCCTCATTTTGAAAGTAAATTATAATCATTGTGAGATACATTTTTATAAATTTCTTTTTTCCCTTTTAGCAATTTATGACATTCCTCACAGCCCAAGCGACTCCAGAAATGAGCTATGGTTTTTAAAATGCAGTGGAAGGTAATACAGATTGAAGAAATTAGAAAGCAGCTATTATTTTGTATTTAGCTCAGGAAACTAAACTATTATTCTGATATGAATAAGGATCTCATCATACTAATATGGATCTTATCAGACATAATCTTTGCATATATTCATTACAACACATCGGTCACAAAGTAAATTTAATACTTTATATTTAAATGCACTTTCTTATATCTTTCATGTCTAAACACAAATTTGATAGGCTCTTGAAAAAATTGTTTTTAAACGCAATTATTTAAATAACAGAAAAAAAATACTTACTCGTTTATAGCTATAGACAGTCAATATAGAATTACAGCCATATCATTATTAAAGATGTTTTTATAATTCGTTTGCTCTCATAGTTCCCCCTCCCCCCCCCCGATGTTCCCGGAAGCGGTTTATCATTAATGTTAGTTTTACCATCTCAGAAACCTGTAAGCTACTTCTCGCAATCATCGAATAGTATGACGTTCACTCTAAATGTAAACTATACAAGCTGCTCCGTTTCTATAGATACTTTTGAGTTACATCAAGACACTTGAGGCAGCGTAAATGCTCTGCTTCTGTTTTACATGTCATAAAATGATATTTTGTAACTTCAGATGCCAGAGATAAATGTAAAGTCTATAATTAAGTACCTTCTTAACCCTTTCAAGGGCGGTATCAGTGTCAATATGTCACCTTTTAACAAATATTTTTAAAGTAAAAAATCGCTTTTAAATAGCTGCATAAAATTTCTTACTGCTCTGTAACTCTTTCCTGAATCAATAGATAGCAGCACAACAACTCAGAGGCATTGGTAGGAAAAAATTGATGGCGGGCGTATGTTCATTCTACTCTGAAGGAAATTATCTTTCATTTATTTCTATAAACAATCGTTTTTACAGTCGAAATGCGCACATTTTTTGGTCTTATTCTGGCTAATGTCCATCACGATTTCTTTAAAACAGTTTTTATTTACAAAAAATGCTTTCAAAATTAGCGGAGGTTTTAGGTGTCATACTTAGTCTGACACCACACGACTGCGTGTTTCCCACTACTTCCTTTGCAGTATTTCATTCTAAATGATTTTTGAAATATTATTTCTATATCTAAAGTATTAATCAAGAAAACATTGCGCATTTTTTGCCAGTGATGTCTCCATGATTGTCAAGAAACATACTACATGTTTTTTATTATTAGAATATTATAAAGAAATTGTATTCATAAATGTGTATATATTATATTATTTAGAAAAAATTGCAAGTTTGAATATTAATATAAATAAATTTTAAAAAACGCGGATCCGGAGCAAAGTAACAGATATTTATTATACATACATAAGAAACAAGTTTATTACATATTTTTTTATGATTTAAAACGCAATATTTGCAGATTAGATCCAAAGCATGATACCTAGATGAGCGGTGTCAGTCCCAGGTATGACACCTGCCCTTCCATCTCCCTACAATCTTAATTTTGTTTTAGCTGTAAATTATGTTTGTAGGTTTGGAGAATCCCATTTAAATAAACGCTCCTAAAAAAATACATTTTTGGCATAGTGCTCCGCAGAGGGTTAAACTAAGAGGTTTATTTTTAAACCAAGCAGTTAAGTTTATTAATTTACAGTAACGGCTCCAATGATTGCTAACAAATATTTACTTGCATTCCAACGATTTTTTCAAGCTCAGTTTTAATTATCAACGAAGACATATAAATAAATACATAAATTTTCCTCCGAGAATTCAAATTTTCAGTCTTAGAAAACCAGATTAAATTCTAATGTACGTTTCATTTAATGTTAGAGTACTTAACATATTACTCAACTATTTTCAAATATTGTTCTAATATTTACAGGTCTAATTTGTCTTCTTTGACATAATGTGTTGCGGTTTCCCTGTTTTGCAATTTTCTATCACCTTACTGTGCGCCTTCGTTGTGTAACTGGAAACACATCCGGCTGGCAATCCACAAGTCCGCGGTTTGAATCCCAGCTTGGGCATTGCTCCTTTTCCATTTCAGTTCGAGCTACGTTTCCCGCTCCGAAATAAATGGTGATGACTCTATACCATCAGTTGAGAAAGATCAGTTATTAAAAGAGGCCCACCAGCAGCAAAGTCGTTGAACACTGGTAGTTCGATCTGTTAGATTCCAGGCGAAAGAGCTGGCTACATGGGAGCTTTCGCGTTTCTTACAATGTGCAATGTGGATACGAGACAGTTTTCCTTAGAAAGTTCGCCACGAAGGCATCCCTCCTCTTAGACATATAGTCCTCAAATACTTTATAATCCTCAAATACACATAAACAAATAAACTAAACCATTTATTACAAGAAAAATTATGGTTGATATAATTTTATAGACAAATTATACTAAAATCAGCGATCAAACAAAATAGCTTCATTAAGTACCACATATTAGTACGAAAAAAAAAATCATCTTTAAACAAATCTTCTCCTAAAGTCAAACATATCTAACAGGTATAACTCATTATGATTTATTTCTATATGCTTGAAATTTCGCAGATAAACGGGTAACTAAGTTATTAACTCATAAATGCTAAAATAAAATATACGCGCGGCACATTTGAGAGTAACCAATTAATGTTTACAGCAAAATTAGTACATTAAAAGAAAAACTAATTACAAATTAATACAGCATGCGAGGTGGCCTTCTGTGAGTTTGATATGCATCGGTTTTGAAGACATCTTTCAGGCTTCTAGTAGGATTGATAGAAATGAAGTTCATAATAGTTATCTAAAAGTTATAATTTGAAAAGAAGTTAATTTATTTTTTTTAAAAAACTTGCTATTTTGAAAACAAGTCTGATAATTTGTTTAATAAAAAGCGTTTGCCAACACTTAAATGACTTCGCATCTTTTCGAAGGAAAGGAAATTTGGTAAACACACACACACACACACACACAAAAAAAAAAAAAAAAAAAAAAAAAAAATGAAATACTTTGTGAACATTTTTTCTTGAAACTTTTTTTGTTAATTGTGCCATATTTAAATTTACATATATTGTGACTGCTATATCAATGGAAACCAAATGATATTTTTACTATGCAGCTGCAGCCAAAAAAAGAAATATCACTGTTCAGCCATAATCAGCTTATTTATAAGTGACAAAATTCAATACTTATTCGCTTTGAATTCAACAGAAAAATAGTAATTAACACACAATAACACGCCGAACAAATACTAATTCAGAAGTCAAACAACAAAAATCAGTGTTATATTTTCAAATTTTCACAGGACTAGTTTCGATGGTTTTACCGAGCCACCATTGTCAGCTGCAAAAGCGCAAATGAACGAGATAAGATATAATGATCATATAAAATAAGAGAGCCTGGACAGAAAATAAGATAGTGGCGCCATCTGTTGATGAAACCAGAACAAAAACATAATTTCTTTAAAGGCCGAAGGCAAAGATGGATTGGAATTAGGATCGTTAACCAGAACAGAAATGACGTTAACCAGACCAAAGGAAGACGTTTTTTCAATAATTTTGAAAGCAGAAAAATTGAAAGTGTGATTTTCGGACCAACAATGTTGGGCAACAGAAGACTTCTGTGTTTCCTTTTTTCTGACGTATGCCTCATGTTCCTTGACGCGAAATTTTAAGGCTCTCTTAGTTTGGCCAATGTAAATTAAACCACGCTGGCAAGGAATCCTATAAATACTCCACTAATTCATATCCGGAATGGGGTCCTTGAGTATGGAACTCGGAATTTTATTGATGGGAGAATAAACGACCCGAAAGTTAAATTTCTGCAAATTATGTGTAACTTTATAGCTAATTGATGGAAAGAAGGGAATGACAACAGAATTTTTATAATCTCCTAAAACAAGAGTGTGCCTTTTAGTGTGTTGAGATGAGAATTTTTTAACTGCTTGATTAATAATGTTGGGTGAAAAATCCCCTGTCAATAGCTACTGCTTTTAAATAATTTAGTTCTTCATCAAGGGATAATTTGAAGGAGCAAACTTGAAGAGCACGGAAAACGTACGAATAAAATGAAGCTAACTTTTGTTTAGTCGGATGGCATAATTTAAAGTGTGGTGGAAGGTGATTGCATGGGTTTCGATAAGTACGTTTTTGCAATTTTGAAGTTCTTTTTGTGTTTCGTATATTTGGATATTGTGCTCTGCTTGTCTGATCCACGCATTTTGGTTGCAAACGTTTTGTTTTCTGTTCGTTTCAGTGTGGGATTTTTCTGTTATTTTGTGCCTGCTTTATTATTGGTTAGTTAATTTAGTTTGATTTTCTGCATCGTTTATGATGCCTTCATCCGTTGATCATTTCACTAAATTACGCCTGAAACGGCAAAAATTCCTGAATCATCTTGACTTTTTACTTAAGTGTAAATGTAAAAAATTGATACCCAATTTCATTCAAATCAAATCTAATCAAAAACCTTCCAGTCGCGTTTCAAGAATTATGTTAAACTGCAAGCGTGCCTTACTTCGGTCCATCATGAGGGATACACGTCAACAATGGTCCAAAATTGAACATGAGCTCTATACGCTTCATCTGGAACTCGGTAATTCATATCCAAAATTCACTGCCCTTGAACAAAAGTCTTGGTCTAGAACGGAGAATGCAGTTAACCGTCATAAAAACACCCTTGCAGTTAAATTCGAAAAGCTTCTTTGACAGTCTTCCAGTTCAAGTAGCTCAAAAAATCTTCCCATTGTAAACATTAAGCCAATAGTTAATATTTCTAATGTTAGTTTATCAGAAGAACAAAAGAGAATTCTAAAATATAATTTTAACTTCTCACAACCTGTAAACCCTCGATTCCAAAGATTTTGGCTCCTATGAAAAAGCTTTCAAGTTCAGTAAAGTTTTCAGATTTACAGAAAGAAATGATTAGGCATCTTATCGCTCAATGTGAAATTCAATAATAAACCTTTGAAAAACAATCTAACTGCGAGAGAAAGAGCTACAATGCGCGAAATTCATTCTAACCCGGATATTATCATTTCAAAGGCCGAAAAGGTGGCCAGATAGTCGTCATGGAGAAGAACACTTACATCGATGGTGTCACTAAACTCTTAAACGAAGGATCATAGTATAATCCGATCCCTAAAGATCCTTCACCTTCGGACTTATCCAAAATAAAAACTGCGATCAAATCTTCGCAAATCATTTCAAGCAATTTAAACATTCGCTTATCCCATCTGTTGCGAATTGTGTGCCAGATTATATGTTCTTCCCAAAATTCATAAAAGTGGTATTCCTTTCCGCCCTATTGTATCAAATTTAGGTACTGCCTCGTATCCATTAGCTAAATATTTAGTTTCTAGATTTTCCACTCTATTAGACAATAACATTTACACCATAAAAAATTCAATAGAGTTTGTAAAAAAGGTTAAAAACATTTCTCCTCGTAATTTTCATGGTTTCTTTTGATGTAAAATCATTATTCACCAATGTCCCAGTGGAGGGTGCATTAAGATGTCTAGAAACCAGACTTCGCGAATTTCATTTCTCTTGCATCGAAATTGATGAGCTAATTTCTCTCACTCAACTCTGTTTGAAACAAACACATTTTGTTTTCCAAAATAAATATTACAAGCAAACTGAGGGATTAGCCATGGGAAGCCCCCTCAGTCCCATCCTGGCTGATATCTACATGCATTATTATGAATCAAAATTGTTTGAAACTTTAAACTTCCCGGCATGGTTCCGCTACGTAGACGATACTTTTACCCTGTTTGAAGGTAATAAAGATGATTTAAATAAAGTTCTTTCAACAATGAATTCTATTGATCCTGCTATTCAGTTCACTTTTGAACTTGAGACTTGCAATTCTCTTCCGTTTCTCGACATTCTGGTCACACGTAACACATCCAACTTCAGTACTACAGTTTACCGTAAACCTCCATCGGTTTGCCTTCCACCACACTTTAAATAAATCATGTCATCCGACTAAACAAAAGTTAGCTTCATTTTATTCCTATGTTTTCCGTGTGCTCTTCAAGTTTGCTCCTCCAAACTAGCCCTTGATGAAGAACTAAATTATTTAAAAGCAATAGCTATTGACAGGGGCTTTTCACCCAACATTATTAATCAAGCAGTTAAAAAATTCTCATCTCAACATACTAAAAGGCACACTCTTGTTTTAGGAGATTATAAAAATTCTGTTGTCATTCCCTTCTTTCCATCAATTAGCTATAAAGTTGCACATATTTTGCAGAAATTTAACTTTCGGGTTGTTTATTCTCCCATCAATAAAATTCCAACTTCCATACTCAAGGACCCCATTCCGGAATATGAATTCCTGGAGTATTTATAGGATTCCTTGCCAGTGTGGTTTAATTTACATTGGCCAAACTAAGAGAGCCTTAAAATTTCGCGTCAAGGAACATGAGGCATACGTCAGAAAAAAGGAAACACAGAAGTCTTCTGTTGCCCAACATTGTTGGTCCGAAAATCACACTTTCAATTTTTCTGCTGCCAAAATTATTCAAAAAACGTCTTCCATTGGAGAACTGGATTTTCTAGAGGCATTTCACATTCAAAAAAAATATTTCTGTTCTGGTTAACGATCCTAATTCCAATTCATCTTTGCCTTCGGCCTTTAAGGAAATTTTGTTTTAGTTCTGGGTCTCATCAACAGATAGCGCCACTAGCTTATTTTCTGTCCAGGCTCTCTTATCTTATCTGATCATATGCGCTTTTGCAGCTGACGATGGTGGTTCGGTAAAACCATCGAAACTAGACCTGTGAAAATTTGAAAATATAACGCTGAATTTTGTTGTTTGACGTCTGAATTAGAATAGTAGTATTAAGAACTTGAAGAGACAAAACGTCTTTAGAATTATTTCTGATGACTAGAGAGATACAGCTATTTTCTTTCTTAAAATGAAGTACCATATTAGGAATCAGTGTCAAATTGTACGTTTACTTTAGGTAACACGTTTTAGCTTATATTGAAATCTGTCCTATACTCCTAGTATGTCATGTACTCCAAAGAATATGTACTGAACAAGGGTTATTATAAAAGAACAAAAACCTAACTTAGAGAGAAAATGAGGGCAATCTCAACCGTCCCTAGTATAGCTGCTCTGCTGCTGTCTAATGTGAATGACATTTCTAAGCGCTGGCGAGTTTTCCTTTGATTGAATTACAAGCAGTAGTCATGCAATTAGCACAGCGAGGCACTAGGGCCTAAATTTAAACTTTTGAATAGTAAATAATTAATTCCCTGTTGCCTGCCATTCTCGTGTCATTGTCAAAACTATGAGATAAATTACTTTATCATGACACAAAGAATGAAAACGTCAATTTAGGAAACAAAATGATGAAAAATTTTGAATTTTATTATTCCCAAAACATGAGGATTAGAATTCCAGGCTTCTGTATCAATCTATTTTGACGTAAATTCTTTACAAATTAACATATGATAACTTAACCTAATAAAGTATTTTTATTAACATTTGTACGTTTCCTGCAAAGCATTTTATGAATATTTCAGGTAAAATATAATTGCTCAAATACTTTTTTCATTAATCAAGCATGAAAAATATTAATGATAATACCACATATTTTTTTTAAGTATCATAGATATTTTTTTTAATTGGTGTCATGCAACTAAATTTATCACCTAACTAAATTTATATACCTGAAATCCAATAGTATTTGATTCATTATTTCAGTACAGAGCCATAAGTTTACAACCTGTCGTTCAAGAGATATTTATCCTTATAAAACCTTTATAAACTACCATGTATAATACTTATTTTTTAATTTCCTTTATTCGTATTTGAAGAAATAAAAGTCCAAGTTTAGCTTTCATATATGTATGTTATGGCATTCAGTAGTTCTGTATATTCAAATGTACATAAAAAATGTAACCAACGTTCAAAAACTATAGAAACTTTATTTATCTTCAGTATAAAATACATATATATTTCATAACAGATAGAATATAAACTGTACCAA